AACCAAGATTACATTACTGAATTTCCCCAGATTACATGAAATGTTGAAGGGTATTCTTTAAGAAGAGGAGGAAGAAGAAAAAGGTAAAGGTAAAAATTATGAACAACAAAAAGACATCAAACATATACCAACCAACAAGGAATCTAAAAATCAAGTGAATAAAAAATCTGAAGAACAGAATGGACTGGTGAATATAATAGAATCAGGGACATAGAAAGGGAGTGGACTGACAATTCTCAGGGGCAAGGGGTTCTGAAGGATGCGGGAAGAGATTGGACAAAAATCTTATACCTATGGATGAAGACAGTGACATGGGGATAAGGGCATGGGTTGGGGTGGGGAATCAGGTGGAGGGGAGCTATGCGGGGGGGGGGGGGGGAAAAGAGGAACACTTGTAATAATCTGAACAATTAAGATTTATTGTATAAAAAAATAAAATTATTGTGGCATACCAGTTGAAAATCACTGTACTAGAGCAAATAAAATTAATCAACAGGAAATGATCAACCCAAAACAGGAAGGACTGTTTTTTGAGGGTTATACAGGCCCATTTCTACACACGCAGTCCTTGGGCTGATCATAGCTAAAGTCCTGGTTTGATGTACATGGGTACTACTGTCCTTTGTTTTCAAACATGCTGCTTCACGATGGCAGGTCACACTGTCTGGGTGACTGAAATGGCTGATGAGGGACCTGCATACCAGTATCAAACATAACTTTATTCTTTAAAATTCTATCTCCTATAGTCACAGACACCTTTTGCTTGTATAGAAAAAACTAGAAAGCTCTAGGTCACATACCAGTGCCTATAGCTGTAGATATGAGATATGAGAGTAGTAAGAAATGATGGTTGATTAACTTCTCGTTCTTAGATTAATGGATAGAATTTCTGAAGGTACACTTAGCACTTGGGTAATAACTTCATCAAAATACACTTTTTTCTTTCACCTTTGATTTTGCCTGGTTTTTATCTACTTTTTACCATCCTGCTTCTTTGTGTCCAAGATATGATTTAGAAAGATAACTCACTACAGAGAAGACCTAACTATTCATGCAAGAACAAACCCACAGCCTCAGCCACCATAACAAACTGATTTAATAAGACATCAACAAATATTTGCCAACAGATGTCCAATGTAGACATCAATGTGTGTATCCTAAGGTTGTAGCTTCAACAGAAAATGAAATGATCCCAAAACTATCCCAACAAATACTTTTTGGTCAGATCTTGCTCCAAAGGCTCTCTCCCATCTACGACATTGATTCTCAATAAGAACTTCTTTTGATAATCTGATCCCAAAGAACCAGCTCTGCCACATTTACTCTATGATCTTGGGGAAATTATTTAACCTCTCTCAGCATCATTACTCTTAAATAAATAAGCATAATAATACCTTTCACTTAGCAATGTTAAGAAGAATAAATGATAAAATCAATGTTAAGTAATTATCATAATGCCAGGTACATGGTAGGTGCTCAGTGTAAGAAACATGCCTCTGATTCAAAATTTATAGAAAAGTTTGTGGTCAGGCAGTTACTGAATTTTCCCAGAGCAAACAGGATGTGGGCAGTGGGGAGCAGGTATGAGAGCTGTGCATGTGGCTGACTGCTGAAAATCGATCATTGGCTCACTAATAGAAAGATATAAAAGGCTGGTCAACCTTGAAGCTCTGAAAGGTCAGAGACAACCACTCCCTATCTAATTAAGACAACGGTAACTGAGGCAACTTCCCCATTTTGTAATCCTGTAAATCCTTACTAATACGATATTCTGCTTATTACCTGCCTAAGGGCTATGGGTGTATCCCAAACCTGCTTAGGATAATGGGTGTATCCCATAGTCTTAATAAAAGGAATAGCAAGGCCAGAGCTTAGCGGCAGTCCTCCCACTGGAGGTGGGCTCCAGCCAGACCCCCCATATTGCCAAATTAAAATTTCTTCTAGTCTCTTTCATTTGTGTGCGGCCCTTCTTCAGAACTCAAACCCTGAACCAGAACCCTGAACCACAAGGGACATGAAAGGGGTTCCAAACAGCTGACAGCACATTTTCCAAGAAGATTTTAAACGAAGGAAAGTGGAGTCTACTAGAAAGGTCTCCGCCAAAATTAAAAAAAGAAAAAAGAAAAAAGAAAAAGGTCTCAGCAAATATTTTAAATGGCCCAAAGGGAGACAAGAAAACCTAGGTGATGTATAAACAGGTGACCTTTTAGGACTCAGCCAATGAGGAAACGAAGGAGGACTAATAAATAGTCTATGTTCCTCTCCCCACTTGTATACCATGTGATGGACATCCACTCTCGAGAGTGTTATTAAAAGTCTCATTTTTTCATGTTTCTGTTTCCCAGTCCATCTTTTGAAATTCGGACAGGTGAGCCATTTCTCAAAATTTGGGGGTGTATCTGGGATTTCTGTGCCCAGACTAGGGAGGGACCCTGGTTGAAGGGTAGGCACATCCCACCCAATTTTGGGTGGCCCTTTGCCTAGGCCCTGTCTCTTTGTGGGTTCCATAGGTAAGACCAAGACTGTTTTTCTTTGGAAGGTGGGGGAGATTGAGCACAGTGTGAGACATCTCCAATATGGGGGACTGAGTAGGAACAGAGTCACAAAGGAGTTTCTGAGGATGGGAAACAAAAATTCTAGGCCTAGATATATAGAATTCTTCCCCAAATAGTCTATTTGGGACAATGCTGAAATTCAGGGGAGGGACAGTTCCTGAACCAGGACAGGAAATATCGCTTGGCTTAGGTGGTTGGTTAATGCAGGGCACTCTGTGGTGTAAGTTTTGGTGCATTGTGCACATCTGTATTGTAGAGGGCCAAATGGGAAGACACCTGGACATTCTTTAGATTGTTGCTGACTGGGCCCAGGATATTGACAGAATCATGTCAGTTGCACTCCCACCCTGGGAGTGCTGAGATGTTCTTAGTTCCTGGCTTGTGTTTGTTCAGGAGGAAGGAGTGGGCGGAACCTGGGCTCTCCCAGGCTCTTTGTTTTTCTGTGAAACCCCTTGTTGGAGTATAAATAGATGTGCTGCATGGTTTAGGATAGGGGTGTCGAACTCAATCAGATAAGGGGCCAAAATCTAAAATCCAGCCTAAATCGCGGGCCGAATGGTTTACTGAACAGTCATAAACTGTCATTGTGATGGAAACGTAGCGACATGCAGTGATGACAGCGCAGTGCGGGCCACATTGCAAGGCCTGGCGGGACGTATTTGGCCCGAGGGCCTTGTGTTTGACACATGTGGTTTAGGAGGTTGTCAGTCTGTCTCTCCAGCAGAGTTCAGCAGCCCTCCCAGCTCCCAGCTTGAAATCTATTTCTATGTCTTCTCTCTTTATTTCTAATATTTCTCAATCCCCGGGCACCTCCACATAGAACTGGTTCGTTCATCTCTCTTTCCATGCGGGACATGGAAAAGGGAGATCCCCACAGCTTCAGGCCCCCGCACTGTATAAGAGCGTTTCTGTTGATGTTTTGTGTTTCTTTGTTGTTTGGTTTAATTTCTTTAAAGATGGGGCATGTCCTGCTTTGGGGAAGCCCAGTTATGTGTATTGAGGCTGAACATGGGACAGAGATCATCAGAATGTACTCTTCCTGCTCTCCCTCCCAGGGCATCAGTCACCAGAAACTCTTAGCTAGTGAGATTTCTGTCTGTGTGTCTAATGTAATTTTGGCTTTCTGTCTTTTGGGGACTTTAGTTTGCTGTTCCCTGGTTTATGAATATGGGGACAAAGATTACATGGGGAAGTAGGGATTATGAGTATGAGGAAGTAAGCAATGCAGTATGGGTTGGGACTCCATTGTTGGGCAACAGGGTTAATGTTTCCATGATAAGGGGCAGTTCTTGAATAGGAATGTACCGCATTCCAAGGAGGGAGGGGACTTATGACTCCCAACCAGGTGGTATGTCCTGGTTAGACAATCATGGCTAACAGATTAATATTTCCCATAACCATAACTAGTCCCCAATGTTCTATTTTTTCCCATAACACTGGGAGGAACAGCTGTGTAGAAAAACCCTCCAGGAAGGTGCAGAAATACCAGTGAAGGCAGTCAGGGGAGGGGGAACTCCTATTTTTATAAAGGAAAATAACATAAAGCCATTGAAGACCAGTGAGTTACCCTGTTACAAAATCTGCTAAGAAAATGCCTTGGGTAAAATAATTGGCTTTAAACTCTGAAGTTTGTTAATACATAATAAATAAATGTAACTAAAACAAAGGGTTTATACCCCAGTAGGGGGTGTGCAAGAGGCAGCTGATCGATGACTCTCTCTCATCGATGTTTCTAGCTCTCTATCTCTCTCCCTTCCTCTCTGTACAAAATCAATAAAATATATTTAAAAAAAAAAATAAAAAAATAAAACAAAGGGTTTATAATAAAAGCTTTTTCAGTGATATATATATATATATACACACACACACACACACACACACACACATACACACATATATAGTTTTCCATAATTTTTTTGTAATTTAAAGCTTTTTGGAGTAAAAAATTAAATATCTAGGTATTTTGGAATAACAGTATACTGAAATATTAATCTGAGTTTGCCTCTTATAGAGAATTTAGAAGATAGATTTGAATCCATTAATAAATATGCCTTGTATTTTATTTGAAATATATCTTTAAAAATGTGAAAATTTAAAAGAGAGGTGGATAAAGATTTATTAATCTATTGGTATTTAGTTCTAAACACTGCTCCTCAAAGTTTAACATTTGTAAAAGTAATATTGACTTATTTGACAGCAAAAATAATTTGCTCCTCCTGAAAATTCTGCTTAGGAGCCATGTGCCCTGGAATTTCCCAGCTCTGCTGTAAGATGAATTTAACATCCTTACACTCACAAAAAAGGGAAAGTCTACCTCCCTATTGACTGAGAACAAAGGAACTGATAGGAAAAAAGGCATTTGTATTCCATGTAATCCTTTCTCTGGGCAGCTGAGTAGAGAAAATGGGGAAAAATCCATAGGCCAAATTGATGAGAAGACTTTGATTCTTACTGATTTCAGAGACATTTTTATTTATTATCATATTGTTAAACAGAAAACAAAGATCCAGGCAGCTCATTTTCTGGGCCCCTGGCAATGAATGTGGCCACCTCTGTTCTAGGTTGTGTGGGGAAATGCCAGGAATAGAGAGCAGAGACGCCTGCTGGTTATGAATGGTAGAAGGACTCATCAAAGTGGACAGGCAAGCCATGTTCACAGGCAATAACTATGTCTCTGAACCCTGGTGTGGCTCTGTATCGGCAGGGAGGCTTGGGGGACGCTCCTCTGTGCTTGCAAGTAGTGACCTGGAAAGGAGACTTGCTTATTCTGAAGATTGCCCATCAGACTTTTCATTCTTGTCTTCACAGACAGCCTTGATGTTGTTACTGGTGCCATGAATAAAGGTGTTGGTGTCTTTGCAGGGTGAAGTCAAGCCTCGCCTCCTCATCATGGTATTACAGTATCTGTCATTCCGGCCACGTGGCTTGGGATCATAGTGCTGGTCCAGGAAGTGTCTGTACCTCTCATCCTGAGCCAGGGCCGGTGGGGTCAGACAGGGCCCCAGCATGAAGACCAACAACAGGGGACCCAGGCCCATCATCATCTCTTCCAACAAGGCTCCTGCCCAGGGCAAAAGGTACGGTAGGGCAAATTAGGCTAAAAGGGCAAATGAAGCTAAAAGGACAGGGACCAGCTGGACTAGTGACAGGGATTCATGAGTACAGTATCTTCAGTCACCTAAATTATATCTTTTCTCTTCCTCATTAATCTCACATTTCTTGTCAATCCATTCTTTTGGAAAATCAATCTAAGTTTCCTTAACACAACTTCCTGCCCAAACCATTCTTTGATATCCCTTAAGACTCTGAGTATTTACCTTTCTATCAGTTATAGCATTAAAATATCCATTCACACTCTCATCCATTTATTACTTGAATAACAAACATTACATAAGGTCTTCTGGGTACAAGGCATTGTGCTAGGTCCTGGCACACAGAGACCATAAAAACAGACCAAGTCCTCCCTAAAAGGAGATGTGGCATCAATGTGAAAGGAATAGGAGCTCCAGTTCACTGAGATGAAACACTAAGATAGGAGGCCTATGAAGAAGATGGACTTTTAAAAAAATATGTTTAATTTATTTTAGAGAAAAAGGAAGGGTGAGGGGGTAGACCGAGGGAGAAAGAGCGAGAGCGAGAGCGAGAGCGAGAGAGAGAGAGAGAGAGAGAGAGAGAGAAACATTGACGTGAGACTGAAACATCTATTGGTTGTCTCCTGTATGCACCAAAACCAAATAAACACACAACCTGGGTATATGTCCTGACCAGGTATCAAACTAGCAACCTTTTGGAGCATGGGATGATGCTCAATCAACTGAGTCACACTGGCCAGGGCAAAGAGGGTCTTCTGAACCCAGAGAAGGGTCAATGAAAGGTTTGTTAAAGACAAGATTCTATGTATTCAGCTGGCTGTAAGGAGAGCAGTTGAGAGCAGTTTTGTCCTGAGTTGAAGGGAGATAGTCCCAATTCCCTAAGAATTAGTTGGTTTGTGACTAATGGTGGAATTATTATATACTAGTTGGGAAAAAAAAACAAAACAGAGAAGAGCATGGAAGAATTGATGCAATGATTGCAAGCGGGTCTGGGTCAATTTTACAGAAGACTGGAGGAAGAAGAATTCAAGCTTATTCTTAGGAACAAGGTGGATTATTCTCAGAGAATTTCCCCATAAATGTACATACACTGTTACACAATAGGCAAATGATGTTACTATGTGATCAGATAAAAGGACAACAAAGAAAACCTCTTCAGAACTTTTGTCAAGCCAAAGTCCTTACAGTTTGCTATAGTGATTTTGTAATGTCTTCCACAAAAGAAGAATAAGAAAGAGAAGAGGATTGCTTACATCAACTCTCAAAAGTTTTTTGTCTAAAGTGTGGAAATGACACTTCCCAGGAGCAGTGTGTCACACACACTCAAACATACCTATCAAGTAAACAAAATGCTTCTTTCTGAAGTATGATTTTGTCTCAATGATAGCTACTAAAAAGAGAATTAAACAGGTATCTATACTTATAATAGGGCAATATGCAAATTGGTTGGGACGCTGTCACATAATGACTGAATAGCAGGAGGGGAGGGGCAGCAAGCTACAAGTGTTTGAGAGCTATAAGAGGATGGGGCAGCAAGCTATGTGTGGCTGAGAGCAGCGTGAATGGGGTGGCCAGCTAAGGCAAGCAGCAGTGAGCTACTCACGCACAGATTCATGCAGAGGGCCATTAGTAGGTTATGACAAAATAGAAAGCAAATTTCATATTAACATTAAAAACTTTATGTGTTAAGAAATGTGAAGGTTTGAGAATTGAAAAATATTTGGTGTTTCCAGAAAAATATTTAGAAGTTTCTGAAAATATTTTTAGTTCTTTGGAGAAAAATTTAAAGAACATTTAGAGCCTTTAAAAACCATCATATCTTTTCCCACATTATATCAAATATATGTCAGTGTTCCTACATGCAATAATAAAAATGACTTTTCACTATAAATTAGAAAACAATTTTTACAATTTTGTTTTTCAAATTGTTTGTGAGTCAGCAACTCATTTACTTTATGATTGGCTATGATTTCTTAGCAACCATCACACATAATAAGAAATCCTTACATTGGTGGAAAAATTTGACCTTCAATTATTCTCAAGTGTGATGTAATTCATATCAATCCTAAATTAAAATAAAACAAATGGTATATTTTCATAGACATTAAATTAATTAGTGATCTTTATTTTGAATTTTTCTTATATGTACATCAATAAACATTTTTATGTCAAATATTTTTACACACTTAAAGATGCCACAGGTTCTAGCATTAAGCCTGTAGTATTACTAAACAGCCCTTGGAGAATGACTGTAAATCTAGAAAGACCACGAAATCCAGGGCTCTGATGGTTTCCTGGGAAGGCATGTGAGAGAGGGAGCAAAGTGAATACTCTTTCTCATCATCATTTGGCTTTGATAAATCTTATCTGTTTCATAATAACAATACACAAATTTGGCACACTGTTGAAGAATACAAAATTATACACTAAGAAAAATTTTGATCATTCTGCAATACTGAAATGAATAGCAGCTGAAAAAATGTAAGTACATTAATTATAATTTATAATAAAATCAAGTGAAAGCATGTTCTTGGGACTTGAGCAAAAAAGTGATATATGATTAAAGAGGGAAAAGCCAGTCCTAAAAGAATAACAAGTATTCATACATGGCCACTGCTTCAACACAGCTGCTGGCCTGCCATGCTCCCCATTTGCCAAGCTCTTAACATTTACACTGTGCTTTTTAAGTCTTCTAGATCTGTTTTCTTTTTCTAGTTTTGTGGAAGACCTCATCAAAGATTTATTGATTTGGATTTATTTAGGTCTCTTGCTCTTTAATAGACAAATATTGCCTTCTAACATCAAAGGCAATTGTAGAATCTTAGGCTTCCAAGATGGAACAGGATATTAGGGTCACCAAGTCAACACCTCTCTGCCTGGGGCAAGAAACCCAGAGCTCAAAATCAGGAAGTAGAACTAGAGCTGTAGTAGCCAAAAGAGCCATAGGTGGCAGTGGTGGATAGAAAGGTCAATGTCCTCCATGCTGTAGTGTAGACCAGGGAACCTGGTAGGAGGTGCCAGTGCTGTACAGGTTGTGGGGATATTGTTGTTCACAGAAAGGGGTCTGAGCTGCTGGGCTTGTCTGTAGTTTCTGTCTAAACACTCTAAGCTTAAGTAATAAAGACCAACGACACCTCATTAAATACAAATATTAAAGCAAAAGTCACAAAACTCAGGGTCTGCCCACAGGATATCGCAAAATACAGATATAACTATTGCCAATTTCATGGGTGTAATTTCCAAGCCTTTATCCAGGTATTCCAGGCAAACAATTACTGTCTTCTTCTCAGTGTCTCCTACTGGTGTACAAGCTACAGGAGGGCAGAGCCCATATAATACACCTTGAATCACAGTGCCTGCCTCACAGTAGATCCACAATATTTTAAAATTTTTTTAGTGATTGACTTAATTTTCCTCTCAAGGCTTAAGTTTTTTCATTTATAGCACATGTGTCAAACACAAGGCCCGCGGGCCAAATCCGTCCCGCCAGGCCTTGCAATGTGGCCCGCACCTCGCTGTCATCACTGCACTCCGCTGCGTTTCCATCACAATGACAGTTTATGACTGTTCAGTAAACCATTCGGCCCGCAATTTAGGCTGGATTTTAGATTTTGGCCCCTTCTCTGATTGAGTTCGACAGCCCTAATTTATAGAATGAGAGAGTTGCTAACTAAAGTCTGAAATTTTATGATTCTCATTAAGCATAAGATAATCTTTTCCAGGCTTACTAGCAAAAGTCTAGTGGAATTATAGAGACAAGGTTGTATAGGTTTAGTTGGTAGGTAGCATAAGGCACCTTGTGAAAGAAATCTATACTAATAAAAAGGTAATATGCTAATTAGACCAGACATCTTCCAGACATCTTCTGGACATCCTTCTGGACAAAGCCATGGTGGCAGGGGCCGAGGCAGAGGTGGTTAGGGGCTATCAGACCTGCATGGGGGAGTAGTTAGGGCGTGATCAGGACAACATGGGAGGGAAGTTAAGGGGTGATCAGGCTGGCAGGGAGGGCAGTTAGGGGCCCATCAGTCTGGCAGGGGAGGGCAGTTAGGAGGCAATCAGGCAGGCAGGGGAGGGAAGTTAGGAGGAGATCAGGCAGGAAGGGGAGGGCAGTTTGGGGCATCAGACCAGCAGGGGAGCAGTTATGGGGTGATCAGGGTGGCAGGGGAATAGTTAGGGGTATCAGGCCAGTAGGCAGAGGTGGTTATGGGTGATCAGGCAGGCATGTGAGCTGTTAGGAGCCAGTGGTTCCGATTACAACCTAAACCAGCAGTCAGACATCCCCCAGGGACCCCCTTTCTGCACAGATTTCATGCACTGGGCCTCTAGTAGATGATAAGAAAACCTGTGATCTAATCTCACTGAAATGTATCATTTCTTAAGGCTCAGTGTATAAGCCAAGTTCACAGATCACCTTTAATTAAGGCATCAGCCACATAAGGGCTTCATATCCTACAAAGCCACTTGCTGGTTGGAAGTTGAAGGCCTCCCATCCCAGTCTGGAAGAGGTAAAGGGAAATCTTTGTTTATAATTTACAGAGCTTGCACATTAATTCTATAAGAACTCAGCTAAATTTTGCTCAGGCTTACTGAAATCTTTATTTCCTAAAACATCCAGAAAGCAAATCCCAGTTAGAAGACATCATGGCCACCAGTATCTAATATCTTCTCTCCCACTCATAACTTGCTCACTCATATTTACCTCTTTTGGGGAAATCCTAAATTTCCCCAAAAGAGGTAAAATCAATTTGGGAGAAAACAAGAATGATTCATTATTTTTGGTGTGGAAGTGAATCTGTCTGGGCCAAGGGTTTAGAGCCTCAGGTCTGGTGATCAAACCCACTCACACATAACCTTCCATATTCAAGCACATAACTGTCAGTCAGCTTTTGGTCAGTGAAATATATCCCCACTGTTCTTCAGACTAACTTTATCATCTGTCTCAAACTCAGCCTTTAATCTTCACAAGAATAAATATTCTCTTCCTCTCTCCACAGGCAATGTTTTGTATTCAAGAGATCCATCCAACTTTACACACTAGGGAGTCTATGATGAGTAACTATGGTTATAATTTCTATACATGTAGGTTCATTATTTTATATATTCTGGGCAATGTCCCTCAAAACAGAAAGCATAACATATATTCCTCCCTTTATCTCTTTCCTTCTTTTTTTCCCTTCAACCTGCCAATGTACCTTCTTTTGATCTTGGATGTGTTCCACTTGGCTCATAAGGAGTAATAAGAACTTTTTAAAGGAAAAAATTAGTATGGAAGATTAGAAGAAAACAGGACTAAAAACATACTTTTGGATTCTTTACTTGCTCTGCCACATGTAATGCCTGTTCCTGGGTCCATCCAGATGCCCTTCAGCAAATGGCTTCCCCAGGTCTTTGGAGATTTTATCATAATTCAGGAATTCCTCCTAAATCTCCACTTGCTCTCAGTCTCACTAATCTCCCTTCATCCACACACATATAGACAATCCCCAAAGAAATCTGTGTTCATTTTAAACTTTAGAATTTGATTCATTTTTTTTTCTTAATTCATAAGCTTGGATCCAGAAATTTTAAGGGGAGAAAAAGATTTTTCATTGAAGTGGCTAGATGGCTATAAATAGTATATACATATAAACAAATACAGCAATAGGTTACTCAGGAGTAAGAATCTTACAAAAATCTGGAAGAGTCCCTCCAACTGAAGATAGCTTCCAGCTCTTTGTTTCTGGAGATGGGTTCCAGCTGTGTGAACTGGACCCCTCTGGTTCTGATTATATAGTGATCAAATGAACTGGGTGGGGAAACCAGTTCCAAAGATCCCTAATCCTGGCAGAGATATGAAAACTAAGGACACTGCTTGTGCACAACAAGGAGAGTCATTCACCTTTTTTCTGGACATGACTGGATCAAATATTTACCCACTGAAGTGGATTAAAGATTTGTTCCAGGAGGCAATATTTGACATTGATAAGCATAGCCCTTTGTCCCAAAGCTGGCCTTTTTCTGATTTCTGTGGTTCTTATTCTTCCCAATGACAGGACCAAGGTTTCGTTGTTCACATGCATGGTCTGGATCCAGAAGACGCTGTTTCTGATCTATGGGCCAACTCTAAGAACTGCCTTGGAAGAACCCCACAGAGTAAGTGTGGTCTCCCAGCAGAATGCTGTTCCCCTGCGCTGTCTATTTCCCCACATAACTTGGTTTCATGAAAGGATGCCATGTCAATAAGTAGGTTAATCATCAATTTCACAGAACCAGAAAAGCACTTGTAGGGAAGGTTAGGTCAGTGTTTTTCAACCTTTTTTTGGGCAAAGGCACACTTGTTTTATGAAAAAAATCACGAGGCACACCACCATTAGAAAATGTTAAAAAATTTAACTCTGTGCCTATATTGACTATATATAAAGTAATTCTCTTGAATAGGAATCAAATAAACACAAAGAAAGTATTTTATAATTACTTTATTATGAAATATTAAGTAAACAAAATAGTGAAAAATTATAAAATTCTTGTCTTGTCTGCACCTACGGCACACCAGGCAACATCTCGCGGCACACTAGTGTGCCGCGGAACAGCGGTTGAAAAACGCTGGGTTAGGTAACAGTGTTAGTACCCACTGCCCTTGATCTCAACCTCCCAGCTACTAAAGCCTCAGAAATATCTTTGCCATCTTTCTTGGGTTTCTCTTTACTTTCATCCTCAACTGTTCAAAAGAGACTAACCAGGAGCCCCCAGTATTCTGTTCCTTGTAGCACAGCTGCAAAACTGACCATCTCCACTGATAAGCATTCCTCCTTTAATGGTTAATTGATTTCATTGTCTCTCCATTTGACAGAACACCCTGAGAGAAGAATAATTGTCTTTTTCAAATCTACAATCTTAGTTTCTAAATCAGTGGCCGACACCTAGGCCCAAGGTCTTTTTATTATCCCTCCTGGTATAAAAATAACATTCTCTGATCTCACTTTGGGGACCCCAACCATGCAGATTCTCCTGGCTTCTCTCAGGGCTCACCAGCACAACTGGGTTTGGTAAGTTGTCACCAAACAAGGCAGGTAGAGTAGGAAGGCTTCCAAGGATCCCAGGAAAGCTCTGCTTCTAGCTTACTTATAAATCCTAAAAACACATGGATTGCCTTCACTTTGGAGGCATTGGTGCCTGTTCCAAAGCACCCTCTCCTGGAGAGATTAACCCTTTAAACAGCTGCCAGTGGGGTACACGTGCTTGGGCATGTGCTCTAGAGCCTGTCTTAGGAGCAGTTTTGGTACCTGGAAGGGCCTGAGGCCTTAAGGAGGAAGAGAAGTGGATGAGGCAGGTTAATAAAAAACTACAGAAATTCTCTGGCAAGTAGATAAGGGAAATGAAGACAAAATACTTAAACAAAGGCAATCGACAGCCAACTAATAAATCATAACACTCTATCTTCCCTAACAAAGTGCACTTAGGAGCAGGTGGTTTACACCTCTACTCCCCAAAGAGTGTGAGTAGCTTAAATCACCCTAGTCAGGTAGATAAATAACAGAGACCCTGCAGTGCCATTAGTGCCAGATAAACCCAAGAACCAATAAAATCCAGGGAATAAATAATAACAACAAATAAATAATTAGAGCCAGACAAATCCAAGATAGAAGTAACGATGATTAGAGAATGATCCCAAACCCCACTATATGCTCATCTGACACATAAGCATGTTAAAGTACACACCTAAAAAGCTGATAAATAATCTGATTGAGACCACCACTAAAATTCCCGTCTACAGAAAACACAGAAAATCCTCAAGACAAAGGACCAACTATCTACTTGCTCTCCCTGAGCACACCCTTTCCTCCCTTTCTCCTAAGCTCTGAGGGCCCCACTTTTGCCTAACTTTTCAGTGAGACAAAAGCATCCCCCACTTGGTTCACTCCTGTCATTTAGACTTTTACTTCTCAGTAATCTAGCAGCCCAGCCCTGGCTCATTTCTGTTACTATGACTTCCTTTCCTGAGTCTAGGCAGCCCAGGGTCACTTCTGTTACTGTCATCTTGCTTCTTCTATCCTAAGTCCTTCTTTTGTTTTACTGACCCAACCTTTATTAAACATAGTTGCAAAATCAGCTGGGCTTGTGTCTTGAATTGTTTCCTTTATGAAGTAAAAAAACCCACAAACCCCAAGCCGTGCCTGCATAGACCTGATTTGGCCTAGTCCTATCCCTTTCTGGTGAGATGGGCAGCATGAATAACCCAAAAAAGACAAACTTAACCTTTTCAGTTGTGTTGGGATACAGTCCTACCTGAGCTTCACTCCTCCTCCTGCCAACCCCCTGTCCTCTTCCTTCTTCCCTGCATCCCCAACCAAACCCTGAGCTAAAAGGAAAAAAGTTGAAGGTAGTGAGAAGAGGACCAAGCACACTGCCATAAACGCTTTCCCTCAGTACTGGCTGCCTCGGGGTTACTGAAGCCTCTGAATAGGAAGGGGCAGGCATGTCTCTGACCAGAACATTTGTTCTGCCAAACACCAAAGTTCAATATTTTTTTAGAAGCAAAGAGAGGTAACAGGATATGGGGTCCATAGAGTAGGGCCTCTCCTGGCACTTAGCAGAGTGCCCAAATCCTCACTGCCTTTTTGTGGGTAAAAATTATTTTAATTAATCATATATCACTTTTTAACCAATTAACTGCCACACATCCAAAAGGGAAACCATCCCCACATGCCACGATATTTTGAATTTAATTAAAAATTAATTTGAATGAGTATTATAAAAATAAATATAACCCACAATTCAGGTGTTCTTGAATATTTTCAGTTGAAATTTCTTACAAAAAATGACTTTTAAAGTTTCTATAGATGTTTATGGCATACAAAGGGTTAAAGAGACACTGAATAAGTGAGCTCTAAAAATTATCATGGAACACCAAAAGTGGAAATTGCATAGAGACTGGTAAGAAGGGCAGAGTCACCAAAGGGCTGACTGGAAAGCAACTGAAGTTTCTTTTCTTTTTTTTTAAAATTTAATAAATTTTTATTGTTCAGATTATTACAATTGTTCCTATTTCCCCCCACCCCCCACATAGCTCCCTTCCACAGGTTCCCACTCCACCCTCTGCCCTTACCCCCCTACCCCCACAGTCCTCATCCATAGGTGTATGATATTTGTCCAGTCTCTTCCCACACCTCCCACACATCTTTTCCCCTGAGAATTGTCAATCCACTCCCTTTCTATGCCCCTGATTCTATTATATTCACTAGTTTATTCTGTTCATCAGATTTTTTTATTAACTTGATTTTAGATTCACTTGTTGATAGATATGTATTAGTTGTTCATAATTTTTATCTTTACCTTTTTCTTCTTCTTCTTCTTAAAGAATACCGTTCAGTATTTCATATAATACTGGTTTGATGGTGATGAACTATTTTAGGTTTTTCTTATTTGTGAAGCTCTTTATCCGACCTTTAATTCTGAATGATAGCTTTGCTGGGTAGAGTAATCTTGGTTGTAGGTCTTTCCTATTTATCACTTTGAATATTTCTTGCCACTTCCATCTGGCCTGCATAGTTTCTGTTGAGGAATCAGTTGACAGTCATATGGTTGCTTCCTAGTAGGTAACTGTTTTTCTCTTGCTGCTTTCAAGATTCTCTCTTTGTCTTTTGCTCTTGGCATTTTAATTATGATGTGTCTTGGTGTGGTTCTCTTTAGATTCCTTTTGTTTGGGGTTCTGTATGCTTCCTGGATTTGTAATTCTATTTCTTTCACCAGGTAGGGGAAGTTTGCAGCGATTATTTCTTCAAATAGGCTTTCAATATCTTTCTCTCTCTCTTCTTCTGGCACCCCATAATTCTGATGTTGGTTTGCTTGAAGTTGTCCCAGAGGCTCCTTACACTATCTTCATATTTTTGGATTCTTTTTTCTTTTTTCTTTCACAGTTAAGTGTTTTTTGGTTCTTTGTATTTCAAATCTTTGACTTGATTCTTGAGATCCTCTACTTTGCTATTGGATCTCTGTATAATATTTTTCTTTCAGTCAGTGCATGCTTGATTTCTAGTTGGTCCTTTTTCAGATCCTTGAGGATCTTGCTAAATATATCAGCCTTTTCTAGAAAATTCTTTAAAAACCTTATAACTGGTTTTGAACTCTATATCCAGTCATTTGCTTTCCTCCATTTCTTTCATTTGTGACTTGTTTCTTTGTCTCTGGATTTTGGCTCCTTCCCTGAGTTGAGAAAGCCAGCTGTGTACTCAGTTGCCCACCATCTCTGCAAGTGTGCACCTTGGTACCTCTGCCTTCTGCAGTTCCTCTGAGTTTCAGTGTGCTTTTCTCTTTCCTGACAGTCCAGTTTCACCCCATATGAGTCTGGGTCCCCAGAGTCTCATCAGAACTGGAGTTCAGCCCAGTCAGAAGCTTTTGTCTCCCTCCCACTTGAGAAAGCCAGCTACACACTCAGTTGTCAGTCCTCTCTGCAGGTGCATCTCAGTACCTCTGCCTCTTGCAGTTTCTCTGAGTCTCAGTGTGCTTTTCTCTTTCCTTCTAGTTGTAGAATTCCCAGCCTTCCTGTAGTTCTGTAAAATGTCTGTTTTTTCTTTTAGTTGTAGTTCTGAAATTGTTATGCAAGGCAGCAGTTCAAGTGTTTACCTAGGCCGCCATCTTGGTTTCTCCGAAAGCAACTGAAGTTTCAAAAAGATATCTAGGTTGTGGGAAATTACCAGTGAGAATGCTGGGATCTAATCCTCAAGCTGGTCTTTCAGCAGAAAGCACCAGAACTGAGAAGGGTATC